TATCCATCGGCTATGTAACCTTTTGGTTGTGCCTTGTTTCGTACAAAGGTCTTTAAATGACTTAATTCCCTATAATAGTCAGAAATAATTATATTAAACAACTTGGATATATATAATATGATACCTTAAACTAAAAGTACTCAACATTACCTCTCTATAGGATACATATATCAATAATGAATTAGACCTCTAAGTTTTGCTTCCTCTACTAGATGGACAATTAAATGAACCATAACTATGAAGAATGATGGTGGGACTAACATGTCTAAGTGGCAAAGTGTAACCACAATGTGATCTTGAAGAATTTTAAGTTCTTGTAGATTTAAGCTTTTACTACAAAGGACTTTCAAGAATGAGCAAAACTCCACCAAGGTTGTAGTGACATGGTTTGATAACAAATTACATATTCCCAACGGAAGTAATTGCTCCATAATAATATGACAATCGTGACTTTTTAGTTCTGATATTTTATGTTGCACCTCATCAAAACATCTAGAAATGTTACTTGAGTAACCATGTCATACTAAAACATTTTTCAAATTTTTGAAAAACAACTTTTTGTTATCACGAGTTAGTGAAAACAAAGTAAGGTGATATCTTCAATTATCACCTGGCCAAAGATTTTGTCTTATGCCCATTTCCTTTAAATCTTTCCTAGCATTAAGATTGTCTTTGGATTTAGGCTTTTCATTCAGCAAAGTAGATATGATATTGTCAAATACATTTTTTTCAATATGCATAAAGTCTAAATTGTGGCATAACACATTAGACTCCCAATATGGAAGTTCAAAGAAAATGCTTCATTTTTTTCATTTTTTAACTTCTTGTCTATATCGTTTTAATCTACCATCCAAAATTATTTCTCTCCCAAATATAACATTAATATTTTCCACTTGCCTAAAAATGTCAAATCCTGACAATTTTAGTGGTGGATTTCGTTCTTCAATGCTTCCATCAAAGCGAACACGATTCAATCTAAATATATGATTTTTACATAAAAAGCCATGATGCCCCATAAAACACCACTTGTTACTATGAGGAAGACGACAAGGTTCTATATCAAAGTTACAAGTAGGGCAATCTAAACATATATGTGTGTTCCAACCAAATAAAATACCTAGGTCAAGAAAGTTACTAATTGTCCACATAAGATCTGCTCACATTCTAAAAGTTTCATTCAATAAAGAATCAAATGTCCCCACACAATCACTCCATAGCTCACATTACTCATCCACAAGGGGTTGTAAGTACTTGATTCCCAATTAATTCAAATCTACTTACCTTGAAAACTTAGGGTTGTTGAAGTAAACATTGTCATGTAATGACACAAATAATACATTAGTTTCAAGTAAGTTAATTTTTAGCTTTTATTCTAATGCACAAGAATTGTAAAAAAGTGTAAGGGATGATAGGTACTCTTTGTATGATTCTGCCCCTTAGTGATTCGTTGCACAAGCACTACACCTCATAAATAGAGAAAATTATCAAAGAAAATTATTAGAGAATACTCAAACTAAAGAAAATTTTCCAGGAAAAAACTCAAAATAAAGAAATACCTTGAAGACCCTGAAGAATGTTGGGGTAGTAAACGATGCGATGTGATGATGAGCGATGACGATGACCATAACTATGGATGCAACCATCAATGTAATGACGATCACAAATACAGAATGTTGGCGACCGCAACGGGGACACAGTTGAATCCTACTTGACGACAAATGACAGGGACCACGAATGAACTGAGGACGGAGACCACAGACGATGATGACCTGAGGACACCATAGACAAGAACATTTTAGAGACATGAACGAACTACATTGTTTTAGGAAAAAATGAAAAGCTTGTGCGATGACATTTTAGGGAAAGGTGGAAAAAAAATGAAAGTGTTTTGTGAAGGTGGGTTTCGAAAATTTTATGAAAAGGTGGAAAATGTAAGACATGGAGGTAGGTTTGAGAAAATTTGAGTATAGGAGAAAAGGTAGAATGATGAAAAATGTATTTAATTTGTGGAAGTCATAAACCTTTTCAAAAAACAATTAAAACTCTCACTGTTATTAACATTTCGACCACTCCTTTTAACCATCTTAAATAATGTCAATTTATGGAGGATTTTTATAATCTCCACGAAATAAAACCTACTAAATAATAATTTTTTGTAGTAAACTTACTAAACACACATAAATTGCAAGTACATTATTGAACACAAACACTAATTAGAGTATAAGAAATTGACACTAAGACTTTTATACAATATCCAAGACAATACTTTAAATAAGGTTAGATTGAACATTTTCCGACAACATCAAAATAATATTGTTTCTTTTATTCCAAATACAGCATGTAATTGCCTCTCATCAAACTCTATTGCATTTTCTATTTATATCTATAGGTGTTCAAACTGAAGTGCAAAGTTGCTATATTATGATGTATAGATGATAGTCCCACATCTTCCATATGTATAGCTACCTTATGCAGAAATAAATGACTAAGTTTTTATATTAATTCTACACATCACACAAGTTTTTGCTACTCATTTCATCATCCTTTTTGTTGCCACTTTATTGATTATTATTTTTATCAACAAAGAAAATTATATATTTATTGCATAATAGATATGACAATGAAGCCTAACAATAAACCCACACCTCCTTTAACTGTATTCTATAAAATCCCAGCTAAGAACATTGCAATGTTTCCCCTGCTTTTACAAGCTCAAAACTACCCCAACATTGTCACTTTATTAATTCTCACTCTCCGTGCAAAACATTGGGCTAGGCAAAGCTTTAATTTTCAAAAATAGGCCAAACAATGCACTTTCCTACCTTATATCTCCATTTTGGGCAATATTATATGTTGATTTCACAATATAAAAGTGATTATCTTCTCCCTTCGAAAACCATTTGTCCTTCATCTCTTTACATGGACTATTCCATTTTTGTATCTTGTGCATCATGGTAGTGACCATATGTTTCTTTTTCTTTTTCTTTCTGTTCAAACCACTTTCTTCTCCATAGGAAATTCCATATTCATTGGTCCAAATCTGTGGATTATGAATTCAACACCAACGACTCGATGAAAAAGACTTGAAGTTGGCCAATTTAATATAGTGCGCAAGTCATTTTGTAACGTACACGGCATTGAAAACTCTACTAATATTCATTATGCAAGGACCACGACAAAAAAAAGCAATGACGAACTTTTAACAATTCACACTTTAGTCTAATGGTAATAGTTTTTGTTCAGTACTCATGTTCAAAATTCATTTTTTCTTAATTTAATTATGTTTTAAGTTTTTCACAAATTCTAAAATTTATATTTTTCAATTGAATTATTGTCATTAGTTATTGTTTTCTTGGGTGGCATAAATATTATCTTGTCATTATTCAAAACTAACATTATTCAGTTTAAGATATTTATATTAATTGATTTTGACATTTAAAAGTACACTAATTTAATAAGTTATTTGTTGTGTACAAATAATTTAATTTTACTAAGTTCTATACTAGACACTCATTTCAATGTACATTTAACTTTTACAGAATGATTGGCTTATTCGAGATTGCAGGGAACACATATCGTCTCTAGAAAGAAGTTGTAGTTCTTGCGCCAATTATAAATAGTTAATATTTCAGACTATTGAAATACAATTATATAGTTTATGATACTTTATGATTTAACTTATGGGGCTCGTGTCAACTTGGTAGCTTTGAGTGCGAATATCATGCGATTAGGTACATGTAAAAAGTTATATCCACAAACATTGTTGACTTATAAAATTTGGTAACGTGAACATTTTATATCTAAAATTTAAGTATTTGTCATTATAAGTTGGCTTAAATTGTTCTTTGTCTAGATATTCGATAACATGTTTCCAATTAAACAAGAGGTCCTAAAGGATGTTCGTGAGTAGTGGATTGCATTTATTTTAAATGTTTATATATGATATTAGGTAAATATTAAATGTATTCATTATACATTGAGATTAAGTATTATTTGATGTGTAAATAATAGGAAGAGTTGTGATTATTTTGTTCCTTGTATATATATCTAGACTATCAGGGGATTTAATTTTATGAAGGTTTGTATGTGGTAAGTAGCACATATAGACCTAGTATTGAAAAAAAAAACGACACTTTTTATACTAATTAGTGTTAAAATAGGTATAAAAAGTGATCTTTTATATTTGTTGTAACACTAATAATATAAAAATTACGTTCTTTATATTGATTTTGGTTTTAACCGGATTAAAAAGTCAAATTTTTATACCAATTAACGCTCTAACCAGTATAAAAAATTTGTATTATATATAAATTTATTTCTTTTCTAGCAAACTTTTTATACCAATTTCAAAATCGATATAAAAATTTGACTTTTTATATCACTTTTGGAATCATTATAAGAAGTATAATTTTTATATTGATTTTATGATTACTATAAAATCTAGTGCTTTCTATAGCTCGTATATATAAAACTTTTTAATAGGTATAAAAAACTTTTTTTTCAATGTTGCATCAAGATCAATAGCTGATTTCTTTTGTGCGATATTGTTTAAATGTATGTAATCTTTATGAGTAATTTTAAATGCTAAAGACATCTATCTACGTGGCTTAGAAAACAAACGAACGAGGAAATTAATAACTTATTTCAATAAAGAATAAATTAGGATTAGTTTCCCCGTTCACTCTGTGCTTTCAGAAATTCTTCCTAGATTCCAAATGGAGAATAATTTAATGAAAAATGATATTTTTACACCCCTAAGAAATACTCCCACTAGATAACCCACTTAAATATATAATAATGTATATTAAAATATAAAGTTAAAAAGATAAAATAAATATAATTAAAATATTATTATTTTTAATTGCTAAGTGGAATCTTTTTTGTTTGATGGTGTGAAATTTCTGGAGTGTTTCCAAATTCCGTAGACCAGTTCGTCAACGAAACCAGTTTTATATAGAGCATCCATCAACACTCCACAAAACACATCGTTTACATGGTTGAACATGGCTTCCTCAATCTTACTCTTTCTTTTCCTACAATTCTTCTCTCTGCACACTTCACATTCTGCATTTTCATCACTCACCACGGACTCATCCCTCTCGGTAGAGAAACCCGACGACGTTATTCTCTCCCCAAACGGCGTTTTCTCCGCCGGCTTCGTTGCCGTCGGTGAAAACGCCTACTCTTTCGCCGTATGCTTCACACAAACCGGTTCCCACAACCACCCCACAATCGTGTGGATGGCGAACCGGGAGAACCCCGTCAACGGAAAACGTTCCAAACTCTCTCTCTCAGGAGCCGGTAACCTTGTCTTGGATGATGCTGCTCAACGAACGGTGTGGTCTTCGAACACTGCTTCGTTGGCTTCACCACTGTTGCATCTCAGAGACGATGGCAATCTCGTGTTGCGTGACCTCCAAGGAACCGTTCTGTGGCAAAGCTTTGATTTTCCCACCGATACTCTTCTTCCGGGACAACCCCTCACCAGACGCACGCAACTCGTGTCTGCAAGAAGCGACACTAACCATTCCTCCGGTTTCTACAAGCTCTTCTTCGACGATGACAACGTTCTTCGTCTTCTCTTCGATGGCCCTGATGTTTCCAGCGTTTACTGGCCATATCCATGGTTGGTGAGTTGGGACGCTGGAAGGTCTACTTACAATAGCAGTAGATCGGCAGTAATGGACTCACTCGGAAGATTCATTTCAACTGATAGTTTTACTTTTATTACATCTGATTATGGCGCTATGAAGCAAAGAAGATTGAAACTTGATTCTGATGGTAACCTTAGAGTGTATACACTGCATGATGGATGGTTTGTTTCGTGGCAAGCGAGAGGTGACCCTTGCAATATCCACGGGATTTGTGGACCTAACAGTGCGTGCAGTAATGATCATGAGCATGGAAGGAAGTGCTCGTGTCTTCCGGGACATAGAATCAAGAACCATAGCGATTGGTCTTATGGCTGTGAACCTGTGTTCGTTTTGTCTTGCAACAGAAGTGAGTCTGCCTTCTTGGAGTTGCTGGGTGTTGAGATTTATGGTTATGATGCTAACTTTTCTGAAGGTAATAGTTATAGTCACTGTGAGAATCTGTGCTTAGAAGACTGTAACTGTAAGGGGTTTCAGTACTCATACAATGACGCCAAGAACTATTACAATTGTTACATCAAGATGCAATTGCTTAACGGGCGCCGATCACCGAGTTTCAGAGGAACAGTATACTTGAAAGTGCCTAAAAATCATAGCCTTTTCAGGGAAGAATCGTTTCGTTCAAATGAGCATGTTTGTGTTGTTCAAATTCCCAGGGTGTATGACAAATATCATGTAAAAAAGATTGTGAGGTTTTTTCTTTGGGTGGCCATTGTAATTGGTGCTATTGAATCGGTTTGCGTTTTTGTCGTGTGGGTTTTCATAGTTAAGACGCGCCGAAAGTCTCATGCAGATGAACACGATTACCATCCTCTGACCGATAGATTCAGAAAATATAGTTATTCAGAGTTGAAAAAGGCGACAAAGGGGTTCAGTGAAGAGATCGGAAGGGGTGCGGGAGGGGTTGTGTACAAAGGTATTTTATCAGATGAAAGACATGCAGCAATTAAGAGACTGAATGAAGCTGAACAAGGAGAAGGAGAATTCCTTGCTGAAGTGAGCATCATTGGAAGGCTTAACCACATGAACTTGATTCAAATGTGGGGATATTGTGCTGAGGGAAAGCATAGATTGTTGGTGTATGAATATATGGAGAATGGTTCTTTGGCACAAAATCTGTCATCCAACACTCTTGATTGGAGTAAGAGATATAACATTGCCCTTGGAACTGCAAGAGTTCTGGCATATCTTCATGAAGAATGCTTGGAGTGGATTTTGCACTGTGATATAAAGCCACAGAACATACTTCTTGACGCTAATTATCAACCCAAGGTAGCAGATTTTGGCCTGTCGAAGCTNGTGAGGTTTTTTCTTTGGGTGGCCATTGTAATTGGTGCTATTGAATCGGTTTGCGTTTTTGTCGTGTGGGTTTTCATAGTTAAGACGCGCCGAAAGTCTCATGCAGATGAACACGATTACCATCCTCTGACCGATAGATTCAGAAAATATAGTTATTCAGAGTTGAAAAAGGCGACAAAGGGGTTCAGTGAAGAGATCGGAAGGGGTGCGGGAGGGGTTGTGTACAAAGGTATTTTATCAGATGAAAGACATGCAGCAATTAAGAGACTGAATGAAGCTGAACAAGGAGAAGGAGAATTCCTTGCTGAAGTGAGCATCATTGGAAGGCTTAACCACATGAACTTGATTCAAATGTGGGGATATTGTGCTGAGGGAAAGCATAGATTGTTGGTGTATGAATATATGGAGAATGGTTCTTTGGCACAAAATCTGTCATCCAACACTCTTGATTGGAGTAAGAGATATAACATTGCCCTTGGAACTGCAAGAGTTCTGGCATATCTTCATGAAGAATGCTTGGAGTGGATTTTGCACTGTGATATAAAGCCACAGAACATACTTCTTGACGCTAATTATCAACCCAAGGTAGCAGATTTTGGCCTGTCGAAGCTACAAAACAGGAACAACGTGAACAATTCAAGTTTTTCAATGATAAGAGGAACAAGAGGGTACATGGCACCTGAGTGGGTTCTGAACTTAGCAATCACCTCGAAGGTTGATGTTTACAGCTATGGAATTGTTCTATTGGAGATGATAACTGGGAAGAGCCCAACAACGGGTGTTCAAAACATTGATGGAGAAGAGTCGTACAATGGAAGGGTGGTGGCATGGGTGAGAGAAAAAAAGCGTGGAATATCTTGGCTAGAGCATATCATTGATCCTGCAATCCAAACAAACTATGATGAATCTAAGATGGAGGTTTTAGTCAAAGTGGCTTTGGACTGTGTTGAGGAAGACAAAGATATAAGGCCAACCATGAGCCAAGTCGTGGAAATGCTTCAAAGTGTTCCTCAGTAGCGTTACTACGTTTCTTTCTATCTCTGTAGCAGTTCTTGTTTTTTTATCTTTCATGCTTGTCTGGCCAAGCTCACTACTGTTTGTTTGCAAGGTTCTTTATTTTAACAAAAACTTTGTTACTTATTTTTATGTTTTATTATTATAACATTTCCTAGTGAAATGGATTCAGCTGAAAATTCTAACAATTAACTATTCATCCAATATTGTAACGACCAAAATCACTTTATTATTCAATAATATTTATTACAAAGTATAAATCGAATTCACGCTTTTCTAAAATTTCAAGTATTTTTTTAAATAAAAATATTTTTATTAATAAGAAAGTAAAGTTGAATACATGAACACAAATAATTAGCTAGAAATTTTGACAAAACCGTCGGTATTAACAGAGTTTTAAGAAAACTGTCAATATTTTCGAGAGTTTTGAGAAAACCGTCGAAAATATGTACATATTTTTTTTTAGATTTTTATTGTAATAAAATGAGATTATGATAAAATTAATTTTATTAACCATACAAAGAAATAATATGAACTAACATTGAATATTATATACAAAATAAAATACATTGTTCAACATATTAATACGTTCATACAACTAACTATTCATATATTAAAAAGAAAAATGTTCAATACTAAATTAAAATACTAAAAATATAACTGAGATGTTCATTACATTACTAAAAAAGAAACAATGTATAATTTTGATCTTAGTTACTTCCATTGTTTAGCATGCTCACTTGATCTGATACCTACAATATAACATAATTGTTAGTCAATAATATATTTAACAAAAAGAATCATACAAATAAATTTAACAATTATTATCGGTGATAATTAAAACATGGTAAACTGTAAAGACAATGGAATTATAAAGCAAATTTTATATCCAATCCTAACAAAAAGATACATGAATAAATAAAATTGTTCCTAATAATACATATATCATATAGATTTCTTTATTATATAATGTTAAACTCTATGAAAAAGATAAACATTAAGTTGAAAGAGTGTGCTGTTTACAAAACATAGGTGCTTTATTTATATTAACAGAACATGAATCAATAAAGTAAATATCTAATGACAAAGATATGATATGGGAATAAATAAAAATGTTCCTAATATATACGACAAAGAAATTGAGTCATTAGTTACATAAATAACGGCTCAGCATGCAAACCTTTGAATTGATTAGTCATTTGGGAAATATTAGCTAATAAATTTTACATGAATTATGGGCTGTGTGTGAAAAATCAACTCTATTATATCCTGCGGTTACTATGTGGAGGTCCATATGCCTAAAGCCCTTTTTGCTTGCACTAAAAAAATAACAATGCGTAAGCCAAAACTTCCTTGTGTTGAAAATTGAAGTTCAACTTCAGAATAAAGTGTGGGGTTTGAAAACTCTTGACTATTGGTCATCAAAGCAATTGATTATAAGAATCTATCAAGTAAAAAAAAAAGGCACTGTAGGTGATTCCAATCTCCAACAAATTATAAGAATTACCTGAAAACGAAAGGCAGTACCGTCTGCACCACAATAAGCAAGCATGCTTAACATAATAAAAGCAAATCCCTCAATTTACAAAATTGCAGTAATGATAATGAAGTAATTTAGTGCCCCGTTATGATATTGAGTAAACAAACGAGGACAAATTTGTCATTACAAGAAAGTCTGTTTGCCCAGAAATACTAACGATTACTTTACAGAGTAAGATCAATAGTACACAAGTATTTTAATGCCAAAAGTAAAATATTTCTAGCAATAAGATTACATAATCATATTGTCAATGCATACCGAAAAACACGCCTGTTATACGTGACACTTGAACACTCCAAATGGCAAAAGATGCATATGAAGAACCGTGCAACCCAGGTTGTTTTTTCCCACTGTATACTTCTCTAGTGACAATGAAGGTCATTTCCAGCCTTCGCCAAGCTAATGGTTCTCATTGTTCCATCTTCAAAGGACATAATGATACAACTAGAAAAAGTACCAACAGAATCATTCTGCGTTCATTACATTGACAATTTAGACAACATTTGATTCAGTTAAAATGATGTATTACCTTGGCTTTGACAGCCAATCCAAACTATATATGATTCTCGGTGCAGGATGGAGGCTCCTCAAAGGACAAAATGGATTACTACAAACAAATTTCCATCATAAAGCAAACCATTGTAAACAAGTTTACCAGACACAGGCTAAACGTAGTTCCTCTGTAAATAAGAAATCATACACTTTGAATTGGAAAGATACAAAAACATGACCTTCATAAAGCTAATTGTTAAAATTATGATTATTATTATATTGCTTTTCGGTGTATATACCTAATCTAGGGTTGAGTACTATAGGATATAACTTTTCCCTAGAATGTACTCTTTCCTTTTCTTTCATATATATAAAAAGTGCATTAGTTAAGCAAGTAACTCCCTGATTTTTTTCTTCACATTCAAATTCAAGTTGGTATCAAGAGCTCTTTATCTTCGGCCACCTTCAGCTACCATTTCATTTGGCTAAGTCAGGATTAGGTGCACCTCGAGGAGTTTGACCAAGCTCTAGTAATTGGGTGAACCAAAGCTTCATGACAGACTGCCACCACATACAGATCACCATTAGCTTTACACCAAGCACATATGTCCCTCAAGCCACCTTCCCTGTTTTGTCTCATGTCTTGTCTTGCAATTGGATCCTAACATAATCTACCTATTTTCTATGTGGTTCATGAATAAACCCCCTAATTAAAATAATAAATAAAAACAACCGGAAGAACTTTGTGAAAACGATGACCAACAACTTAAGCTTACCAAACTTCCAATTAGTCTGAGAAATTCACTCTTTACCTCAATTAAATTAGGATTGCTATGAGCATCCAGAGAATCCAAATAGTAATCACCCGACAGAAGCTGATGAGAAAACCCCGACACTCTTCTTTTGCAGCTTGTCACATAACGAAGCATTGGAAAGAAATCAGACTGGCAATCTTCAGTAACATTCCTTGGCTAAGATACATCAGACAAATTTGTTTTCATCTGTTAATTTTGCCATAAAAGTTAGAAAACAATAGATGGAAAATAAAACTTAGTAAATATTTTTTTCAAGCAGAAATAACATATCAATAACAGTCACCGATCCATAAAAAATGCTAAACTCACCACCAACCTTTATCCTAATCCTCACATTACTCTGTGTGAAACGCTTCCATCTATTCTCATCCATCAATATCTCACACAAGTCCTTCGTCCTAAAATTGAACCTCAGTCATACTAATACTCTTCACTCCTTTCCTCTCCTTCTTCTTCGTGGACGTCGAAGTTTCGTTCTTCGGCGCAGTTATAGTGGACGTGGACAGTGACGGAAACAGTGTCGATCGCGCCGGTGATGGCAAGGGAGACGGCGTCGACTTCTTGTTCTCCAATTCGTCCTTAATAGGACTGCCTCTGGCCATGCTTTGCACCCAAACCCTAACCTTCTCCAAGATCAAGGGTTTCCCCTTGGAAAGCATGACGTCCTTTCATCCTCTTCCCTTCCGGTCCTTCGTCATCGACGGTGACTCTAAGTTCGGGATCTTCGTCGGCATTCTCGTCGGATATGTAGGGAATTCAAAGGCGCCATCAACTTCGAGAAGTGAAGCTCCATTAGAGTTGGAAGAAATCAAACTAGGGTTTTCGAATTGGAAAAAACCAATCAGAAATGGGGATTTTCAAACTGCAAAGAACAAAAGTGGGTCTGTGAGCGATAGGGAACAGGAAGAGCGACGCCAATATTAACAAGAGAGAAGAGGTTGTGTAGCTAAAGTGCACGTGTGGAGGCACAATTGTTTGAAGAATGTGGTGCGGGGAATGTGACGCAATGCCTTGTTTGAAGAACGCAAGATGAAGGCGGGGAGAGAGGGATGAGCCAAATAAGTGACCATTATCGGCGTCGGACAATTTTATAAAATAATAAAAAATATTTAACTGCGGTTACGTCTAAACCACTCAAAAATAATCTCTCAAAAAATATATTACTTTTTGTAGTGACTAATAAATAAAAATAAAAATAAAAATAATAACAATAAATAAAAATAAATTTATCATCATTTTGCTAATAAAATAATAATAATAAATAAATAAATACGAGGTTATAAACACTTTACTTTTAAAATAAAAATATTAACAATAACTAAATAAAAATAGATTGTCATCACTTCACAAATAAAATAATAACAATAATTATAAATATAATTACTAAATAAGAATGAAATGATAAACATTTCATTAATAAATAAAAATATTAAAAATAAATAATAAAAACAAAATTATCAAAACTTAATAAATAAATAAAACTAAGGTTATAAAAAATTTACTACTAAAATAAAAATAATAATCACAAATAATAAAAATGAAGTTATTAACACTTCAGAAATAAAATAATAAAATTTACTAAAAAATAAAATTATAAACACTTCGTTAACAACATAAAAGTAATAACAATAAATAATTAAATTTAATAAATATAGATTGTGATTGATCTAATTGCACTAAACTATACATTATTTATACTTTATTATGTTATAAAAGTTAAGGTATTTTTACTAAAAAGTAAATTATAACATTTTGTAGTTCATTTTAAAAAAAATTGAACTTTTGTTTTTGTTGAGTGGATAAACAGGCTCTTTCATGTTTCTCTTTGATTGTGCTTTACTGCAAAGCTTTTTCCATCATATTTCTTTTTCAATCACATATTCAAGACTATCACAGGGATTTTATGGCAAAGTTCTGCTTGTCTCGAAGTCCTTATCGTCGTCGAAGGTCCTTTCTGAACGTGAGATGATCTCTTTATTTACCTTCACCCAATTTGAGTTTTCAATTTTACTTTAGGTTTAATTTCTGCTTCTGTATATTAAACTCATTCTCGTTCAATTTTGATATCTTAGCCTAATGGAGGATTTTTTGTTTTGACGAGGCAACATAAACCAGCAATGGTTAAAGTTCATAATTAAGATAACTGTCCTGAGATTATCTAAACTTTTAAAAACTAAACTATTTGTACCGTATGACCGGAAGGTTTCCATTTTTCACGACACAACCATTCGGTCATCAAAGATATATGAGCGGTATGGATGACTGGTCTCATAAGTGCACACGAATATTGATTAAGGAGATTAAGGCAAATCACGAATTAAGCCTACAAGATCAGAATTGGACCGAGATTAAAACATTGTTAATCCTAGGCCCATGCCAGAAAACTATAAATGTAAGTGAAAGGTAACAGGTAGGTGGACGCATTTACTGTTCATTAATTACTGTCACTGTTATATTGGATAACCGAACGCTTCAATTACTGACTTTGACATCGGAGTATCTTTAACAAGTACACACATACCGGGATAGCGAACCAGGAACGTAAAGAGTAAGGCCGGACGGTGAGAAAGGACAAATTGTGAAGGAGTTTGGTGACTCAGCCCCATAACCGAAACATTTAATAAAACAACAAAATATTTCCCCCCGATCGGCAGGCCATCTACTCATCCCCCTTCAACCTGATCCTCCACCACCAGAGCTTCGGGAGAAGCAGTGTCAGCTTGCGTGGGTTCACCCGCACCTACCTTGTCGTTGGCCTCATCGATGGGCAGCATCTTCCCATCGAACACGTCTTGCTCGATGTTGAAACCATAAGCCAAGGGGTTCACATTCAAGAGGAAGGCCGCCTGACGCATCGCTTTGTTAAAACCTTCCTCATGCTCGATCACCACATTCGAATTAAACGTCATGATCGTCTCGTTCACCTTAAGCAGCTCGGAAGTGAGACGTTCATTTTGGCCGGCCAGTTCCTCTTCCCTGCGCCCCAACCTCTTAACCTCCGCTTTTAGCTTTCCAACTTCTTCCACTGATCGATCAACCTTCGCTCGAGCGGCCTTCAACTGATCATGAAGGTGAGTCACCTCGGCATAGGCGTCATCTAGTTTCGTTTGCAGACCGGCCCGCTTCTCCGCACATCCGACATGGTTAATGGCCAAAGCCTCCACCCTAGCCCGAAGACCATCGGAGGTCTTCTTTTCCTCATCCAACTCAGCCTGCCAATCGTAGGATCTCTTACGAGCGGCAAGCTCGCGAGCACACCAAGTTAACATCGCCCCCCGAGACGTCAGCTCCAATCCGGCATTGATTAGCTCTCCCTCGGACATGGATTCAATGACCGCCCGTTGAGAGGAGCCCATATGGAAGTCCATGCGTGAACTCACATGGAACCCAGGATCAAGCACACTGGGCGAGAGGAGGTGCGGAGAACTTCCCTCTCGGCGACTCCTCTTAGAAGAAGATTTGTCCCCTTCCTTCGTTTTCCTCTTTTTCTCAGAGGGAACAACTACGGCGATCGGAGTAGTCCCTACAGAAGGTTCTAGATCAACTACTGGTGGATCTTGATGAACAACCACCGTCACTTGCTCCGTAATAGGAATCATTGGACAGACCTTCTGGGATGCGGACGAGCGACTGGAAGAAGCCGTCCGCGGATCACAACCCTTGGAACTGCCCTCCCCCTGACGTTCATGGGAGGAGGTGAAGCTAGTTTTGCGGGGCGCCGGTAGAGACATGTAGCCTGAAAGGAAAAAAAATTAAGCTAAGTTAAACAACAAGACAATAAGGAATTCATGGAAGACACCATACCAAACGCTATTTGGTCAAAATCCTCGTGACCAAAGCACTCAACGAAGCCGCAGGCGTTAAAGCAGCAGGGTAGGGCATTGATGATCCTAACGGCTTCCAGATCTTCTAGGGTCATTCGACCGACCGCCCAAGCCTTTATTTTCCGAGGGTTCCTTGTCCAATAAAAAAGGAACAGAGGAAGACCCGCTTCGTCGCAAAATTCAGACCGACTGACCTCGTTTATTATCACCTTAAAATATCAATTCTTGAAATTTGTAAACGACTCACTATACGACTTGAGCAGGGTTCGACTAGGAATGGAAGAAAGAGACACCTATCGTTGTTTTGCCAACGGCCGGACGTTGAAGTAATGAAGGAAAACTGGCACAGACAGAGTAATTCCCATTGCGGCGTAGATGGTTACGAAGGCTTGAATGGCCGCCCAAACAATTAGGGTGAAGCTGAGTAGGGGTGACGTTCAACTCACGGAGAACGACCGCTTATAAAACTGTGAACGGTATTCGGAGGAACAACTGGTTAAACATGTAGGTGTACACAAAGAAAAAGTCTTCTCCGTTGTTCCTCTTTCCATGAAAAACGCGTTCATTCCGATTACACACTCCCAAGCAGATCAACCGGGCGTCCTCCAGGTCGCACACTATATGTGACCGGTCGACCTACCATTGAAGCTCATCCCGAGTGCTTTAGTCAGACCGAAAGAGACCGACGTTGTGGGAAGCCCATCTGTACCCTTTGATGCGCGGCCAACCCTCAGGCAGCTCGGTGACTTCCTAATCTATGCGAACACCACCCTTCAATAGAAAAAGACACATTCCATTTATGACTCGTTCGCCCCCCCCCCCCTAGGATGATGTCTCTGATTCAGAATCTTCTCCCCTCTCAAACTTCTCGAGAGAAGACGGCACCGAACTGGAAGACCGAGCGTCACCAACCGCCGCACCCCTATCGCCGCACCCCCATCGCCCTGGCCCGCCAGCTCCTCAAATGACGAAATACTAGTGGAAGACATTATCAAGTTACTTGGGAAAAATAATGCACCGAACGACTAAAAAGGAAGAAGGAAGAATAGTGAAAATGACGGTCCATCGCGTCCTTATTTATAGAGAAAATTTTCGAAATCGTCGCATCTTCACAGCCGTTGAGATCAACCACGATCAACGGCCCAGATCGAGTGACGCTCCCACTACTCGATAAAGTATTCGCGTCTCGTCGTGACACTTGTTCTCCCGCCCAAACAACATTTGCAAAAGCCAGTGGCGAAGCTCAACTCCCAGTCGATCCGGACGACCACTTAAACCTAACGTCACCTTCGTTGACTAGGGCTCGGGGGGCCTGATGTACCGTATGATCGGACGATCTCCATTTCCCACGACATGACCGTTCGGTCATCAAAGATATATGACTGGTATGGACGACCGGTCTCATAAGCGCACACAAATATTGATTAAGTAGATTAAGGCAAATCCCGAATTAAGCCTACCAGATCATAATTTGGCCGAGATTAAAACATCGTTAATCATAGGCTCACGCCAGAAAACTATAAATGTAAGTGAAAGGTAACAGGTAGGTGGACGCATTTATTGTGCATTAATTACTACCACTGTTATATTGGATAACCGGACGGCTCAATTACTGACTTTGGGATCGAAATATCTTTAACAGGTACACACCGACCGGGATAGCGAACCAGGAACGTAAAGAGCAAGATTGAACAATGAGAAAAGATAAATTGTAAAGGAGTTTGGTGACTCAACCCATAACCGGAACACTATTTATATTAAAAACTAAATTATATTATTTACTAGTTCAATTTAAAAATATTGAACTTTTACAGTTCATTTAACTAGATAAATTGATAATCTATTATTTATTATTGAATCTCTTAAACGTAACTATTCGTTTACCCAAATTATCCATTATTTATTATTTAATCTTATAATTATTATTTTTACTTTATGAAAAAATAAAAGTTGACCTGAAATTATTTTTCACCATATATATTTTGAATATCTTGTATTATATAGATAAAAAAAAGTGATATATATATATATATATATATATATATATATATATATATTCTTTCAATTTATTTATAAAATTAGTTTTATGATTAAACTAAATTATATATCTAATTTGTCTTTATAATTTATTATATAAAAGAAATTAAAAGGTTGTGAGATAAATATAATTTAAAAATAAAGGTTAAATATATATTATATTTTGTAAGAATAATTTATCATT